TTTGAGCGGTCAGACAGTGCGCTTGACTTCAATGCCGGGAAAAATGCTAGCATGCATTATTAAAGGAATGATTTGTGAGCACTTAGGGAGAGTGCAGTGAGTCAGGTCAGACTAATGGCATTTCCTTTTTTGATAGAGTTACTAGACTGATGGAACAGGGAAATGACCACGGTGTGGTCTGTCTGAATTTTAGCCAAGGATTTACCCAAGTCTCCTGTTCTTTCTCTATGGATAAAATGAAGCGATGGATTTAGAATTGGTTGAATGACTGGACACGAGTAGCAGATAATGGTTCACAGTCAGTCTAGAGACAGGTCTCCAGTATAATGCTGAAAGGCTCTATCTTCAGGCCTGTTTTCATCATCATCGTTTTTATCATTGACTTGAATGAAGGCCACATGTCAAGTGCGTCTCTTATGGATGACGTGAAGTTAGGAATGATAGCTAATAAGGTTAACTTGGCATATTCTGCTTGATGCTGTTGTACGGGACTGTACATATACAAGCGGTAAGTTATAGGGAGGCTACTTTGGGGTCAGCATACGGAAAATGTTCATAATAATGAGTGCTGCTCTCAGTCAGGATGGGCATGACAAATTCCCTGATCACTGGAGGTCAGCACCTAACCATTTATCAGAATGCTATGGAAGGTATTCATTGTTGAGCCCTTCTGAATCTAAAATTCTGTGATTCTAATATGTTGGACAAAACAAGTCAGGATCCCAAAAAATTTTGGTAGACTGGAATGAAGGACCAATTTGAATAAAGTCAAATGTGACACAGATAAATATAAACGCTTGCTCTTAGGTTCAGAAAATAAATTTCACAAGTATGGATAAAGGAGCCATCCATGGGGACTCGAGATCAGGGATTTTCCACAATTTTTGTGTCAGGGCACTCCGGCATTCTGGTGAAGCCTATCTGTCAAATCACAGAGAAAATTAATTATATTGAAATCATGATATTTTTTTTTTTGGTTCATGTGAACAGCATTTGAGAGTTTCATTTGACCACAGATTACATATAGAATAAAGCTAATCTGTAGACCTCCCAGAACTTCCAGAATATGTTTTCGAAGAGAAGAGCTATAACTTTGTCACATCACTGTTATTTTTACCCTGTGGCATTTGGGTCCTCTTAGTTCTGGTGTTATATACAGAACCACATCTGGAGCTTAGGAATTGGTTACATGCTTACCTCACCCTCCTTGTAATGTGTGATTGAAGATAATTCCCATTGTTAGTAGAATGAGCTGAGTTGGACCCGAGGTGATATAACTTAATTTGATTAAAAGGTATTTTGTCACTGCTGAACAGGATGTCTTGTTGTATTTGACACTAGATTTGAATCTAAGCTAATGAAAATCTCCTTCACCACCACAGGTCACTAAATGATTCTTTTCAGACACTTGGTAAGTGTAGTCTTTTCCAGGATAGGCTAAACTTCATGCTTTTTTCTCTCTTCCGTAATAGGATTTTTAATCCTGGAAGAAGACAGTATTTTTTAGAAGTCATTTAGGTGGTCTCACTCCAGAAGTCACATCGCAGACATTATCAAGATACTGTCATGATAAAAAGCCTAGGACACTTTGCACACTGTCTGCCCTGAGCTTAATGAATCTTTGGTGATTCAGATCTCAGGTCTGTCTGTTTTCTGTTCAGTCGATAGTGTGAGTTGAATTGAGTAACTGCCATGTGCTCAACAGTATACAAGTTAATGCAAACCCTTTCAAGGGGTTTGCGGTCTGGTTGGCAGGACAAAATTCACACACAAGACTCACACACAAGACTCACCCACAAGTGAAAGATCAGTGCAAAACAGGGCATAAACAAGCCCTCAGTTGTGTGGCATACATTGTAAGCCCTTTAAGAGTGAGTGGAGTTGCAGGAGCCATTAGTGTGGGCTTAAGTATTAAGGAAAAGGCTTCAGTGAGGAGGCAGCATTTGATCTGGATCTTAAAAGGTGAGTTGGATTTGAACAGTTGGAGAAAAGATGCAGTGCATTCTAGGCAATGAACATGTCCTGTGTCAGGGAAGGGAGCCATTGAAAGGCGTGTTTGGTTTATGTTGGACCAGGTTATGCAGTATGTTAATGTCAGGAAGAGGATTGACTCGCAAGGCCAGTAGGGAGCTATTGTGTGTTTTTTAGCATGATAGTAGTATTAATATATTGACTATATGCAGGTTAAGTTAGAAAGGAGGGAGCCTCGTATATGCTGATGAGAGTATAAACTGCAGTGGTGGCAGTTGAAATGGTAAAGGGACAAATAGATACATTTGAAGGGGTGGATAAATAAGATTTTGTGACAAATTAGAAAAAAGGGACAAAGAAATGGGAGAAGTCATGTGAATCAAACCTTTCTAGCTGATTCGACAAATTCCAAAGCTGGATTAGGAGCCTTAGTTTGGGAGAGGAAAGATGATAGAATCTCAGAGTTGGAAGGAACCTTAGATTCCATATCTGAGTAGGAGTCTCCTCAGTGATTTCCTAGACAATTTGACCTCTCCTTAAGCCCCTCCAGGGATGGAGAACTCAGAACCTCAGTGAAGAAGCTCTGTGCGGATCTCTAATTAGAAGGGCTTGTTACCTCACCACACAAGTAGAGATCACACCGAATATTTAGTTGATGACTTCAGTCGCCGACTTCTCCAAGTGACAGCAGTAAAATGATGATACGCCATGGAAATCTGGAAGTACTTGATTTGAGTATGGGTTAAAAGGTAAGGCTGGGGAATCTAATTTAGGATTCACCATTTTGGAACTGGAAAGGACCTCATATCAGTATAAAAGTGTTAGATGAAGCCTTTGGAGTGAAAGAACTGTTTAAGAGAGAAAATTATTGAAGGAAGAGACCATGGAGTGAACTCTGTGGGATACTTACAGGGAGGTGACTATATGAATGGCCTGAAATGTAAATACTTCAGTACTTACAGGATTTCACCATTTCAAATATCCGTTCCCTCGATCCACACAGATCATGACCTCTATCAAATAGCCTTCATGAGTTGTTGTGGCCAAAAAAAAGGGAGGGGGCCCATCTGGTGCCCCTCCCCTCCAGCAGTGAACCTCACCTCAGGGTTGTACTCTAGGCTTTTCCAGCTTAGTGGAACCTTACACTCATGTTGCAGTGGCATGACCTTGGAGAATCCAAAGGCATTTCTACATTACAATGAGACATCAGAAGATCCCAATGCTGCCTGTAAAGACAGTGCTCCTTCCAGTCAATAAGGCTCCTTGCATCTGATTTCTTTCCAAAATATTTGCTTTAGAAACAGCCATATTATGAGCATGTCAAAGGAAGGCAGAATAAGACATTGTATTTGAAGTGAGGGATATTTGAAAAAACATGCAGTATTTGTTAAGTGGGAGTTTATTCTTGTTTGCTTAGGGTTTCATGGGAAACAAGAAGGGGGAAGGGATAGGCATGATGATACAGTCTCCAGCTTCTGCTTTTTCTTGGCAAGAAATTCATTTGTACTTTAAATAAAAAAATTTTCTTCCTGAGGGACCTGGTAAAATATATTTCATTAGTCAGCACATTACAACACTGCTACTTAGGAAGTTACTTTTTTAATTAAAAAAAAACTAACAACAAAAAGTTCAGCTTTCCTTCTCTTTTCAGTTGTGGCTATAAATACAGATGAAGGGTAAAAATGGAGAATTTGTGCTGTATTGCCATAGAGTGAGTGGGGGATGGGACTGCTTCTTATCTTCATCCCTTTTCATTTGGCTCAGGATTTTTACATCCCTCTACTTTCTAATAGGTTCTCTCAGGCCTCCCCACAAATCATTTGGTTGTGTTTGGCTCCCAGAAGAGCAAAGATGAAAAAGAGAAGCAAAGTTTCAGGCCCTCCCCTAAGGGCAGCAGCCCCCCACCCTGAACCCACAGTGCCGAATGCTCTGCTGTCTAACGGGACCATCTTTCTGTTGTCAGGGCATGCAGCCATCAAGATGGGCCCAGAATCTTACTTGTTGAGGGAAGAGATTATTACAGTAGCATGAAGAAAGAGGAGGGAGAAAATGAGGAGGGTTTCTGGCTCTCGCCCTTGAGCTGTAAATTCTCAAGGACTCTCTTATAAATCTCCCAGAATCACTGTGAAAAATCCACATTCTATTGGAGAGCAGTGTAGGGCTATCAAATAGTAATTTCTGAAGGTCCCCCCCCCAGACACTGTGGGGAAAAAAACCACAGAATAAAACTGCAGAGTAAATCTCCATCTGAACAGTGTTGTTTTTCTTCTTTAGTACAAAGGAAGTTAGGTTTGCTTGTCCTCCCCATCACACATCTCTCTGCTTTCCCTCCGCCTCTCTTTACTGTTCTTCCTGTCTCCTCCTGTTCTCTGTTTCTTATGCTCCCTGCCTTATTCTTTCTTTCTCCCTTCTTTTCTCTCTCTTCTTTTCTCCTTTCCTCCCTCTCTCCCTTTTTTCTTCCTTCTCTCCCTCCTCCCCTTCTTTCCTTTCTCCTCTTTCCTTCCCTTCTCCCTCCTCCCTTTTCTCTTTTTCTCCTTCTTTTCCTTCCTCCTTCTTCCTCCCTCTTCTCTCTCCCTCTCTTCCTCTTTCTCCCTCTCTTGCTCTTTTTTCTTCCTTCTTTTCTCTTTTCCTCTCTTCTTCTTTCTCCCTCCTTTTTCTTTCTTCCCCCTCTCATACACACACACATACACACGCACACACATGCACATGCACATACTGTAACTCTTCCTCCATGAGTCAACTTTCTTGACTCTGCCCTCTCTGAGGTAATTCAATGAAAGACACCCAGAGCTAAGTGCCTATTTTAACAGTTGTCATTAAACAGTGGCATGGAAAAGGGGAGCTCTGGTTACCACAGCTACAGATGTTTTTAAAAAGCCATCTCCCTCCTCCTTCAGCACCCAGATGGACGTCTTATATAAACCCACTTGCAGGTTACATATGGTTTCACGTTGCTAGACCACTTCCATTATGTCACAGACCTTATTGGGCCAGGTTGATTTGAAACCTTGTTTCATTTCTCATTCCAGAGGGCCAGCTGAGAGTGGACGCTAACGTATCTGTGCATCATCCTGGGGAGCCTTTGGGAGTTAGGACCGAAGTGAAGAATCTCAACAGCATAAGATTCTTGGCCAAAGCAATAGGTAAATGTCATGTTACTCCTCGATTTATGGTTCTCCAAGTAGACTGCCTTGAAGACTCATCATAGGCTGGCCAGATTTTATTATTATTTTTTTTTTACCAACTTGGTTAAAACGTGTCCCTTGCCTCTTTTCCCTTAGAATACAGGCTCCTTAAAAAATAGGTGATAGTCTTGCTCCATCAGTCAGTCAAGACGTATTTATCAAGCACTTTCTGTGTTTTTGTATATGTCAGGCACTGTGCTGAGAAAGGCAGAAACATGATTCCTGCCCTCAGGAAGCTGCCATTCTAAAGGGAGAGACAAACATGAAAATAAGTGGATGCGTATAAGATATATACAGAGGAGACTGAAGATAATCTTGGGGAAAGCATAAAAGGCCTCCTGCAGAAGATGGGATTTGAGCTGGGTCTTGAAGGGTCCTAGGGAAACCCTGAGGCAGAGGTGACAGGGCAGAGCATTCCAAGCATGAAGGACAGCCAAGAGGAAAGGCATGGATGGGGTTGGGAGAGACAGGATGATGTTTGTGGAACAGCACTCAGGTCATTGTAGCTCAATCCTAGAGCCAGAAGGCTATTGCAGTAATCCAGGTAAAGGACAATGGCGTTCTGAACTAGGGGAATGGCTGTGTGAGTGGAGAAAGGGATGTACACAAGAGATGTTGAAAAGGTAGACTCATTGTGGGGGTCTGATGAATAATAAATGCATAATAATTAAAGTAGCACACTGTGTAAAATACACAGTCTTTTTGCCAGTCACAAATTTGCCAGTCTGCAAATTCCAAAGTGGAAGAAGGATTTCAATCCATCCTGATTTGGGGGATGGTGCTTTTTCCCAAAGCCCTAGGACATCATTGTCTCTCCTGAGATGGGAAGAGAGAGAGAGGCACCGTGTGCCTGGAGCTTTGTCCTCTTGTTTATTTTATGAAGTGGAAACAGATAGTGAAGAAGGACCTTGCATGGTCAGTTACCATGTCTGTGTTCAGGAAAGGGGCGCTTGAGATTTAGGGCTGGGTGAGGACAAGGGGAAATGGTCCACCTGGGGCTACAGGGTGATATTCTCAAAGCAGTTAGGACTCAAGAAAGGGTATTCCGAATCTTTTCGTCTGGTCCCCGCAGACCTCAGTCCACAAATGTGCTGTCATAGCCAAAATAATCAACAGAACTCTGGGCAGCATCAGAGAGAGCATTAGAAACAAAACTGAAAACATGGTCTCAGCCTCCTATAAATTCGTGGTTCATTCAGATCTGGGATTCCGTGTGTGGTTCTGGGCTATAAATGTTTAAAGAGACTTAATAGACCTGGAGGAAAAGTTCAGAGAAGAGCATTTTAAAATGATCGAGGTGGTACAGTAGGAGTAAGGGGATGAGGACAGACAAAGAGATTGGGCTGTTGTGTCTGCAAAGTCAGAGTCTGACAGAGGAGCTGATCCAAATTATAAAATAATAAGGGATGTGGATAGGGTCAAGTTTCCTGAACAGAATGGAAACTTGAAAGAAGGAACTTTAGAGTAAATGAAGGAGAACATCTCCATTATGCAGAAGGTGGTAAACTTATAGAACTCATTAGCTCAGGGCATAGTAAAGGCAGAAAAATGAAGGTGGTTCCCAAAAGGGTGACATGGATTTGTCGATCAGTAGTCAGTGAACAGGGATTTATTAAGTACCCACTATGTCACAGGCTGTCAACCCAGGCTCCTCCAGCAGTGAGAAATAGGAGCTAGTGATAAGCTGACAATATAGCATTGTAATGTGTGCAAAGCTCTTTCCATTCATGATCTCATTTGAGCCTGACCATAATCCTGTGAGGTAGGTGCTATTATTATCCCTATTTAATAGATGAGGAAACACCAAATTAGGTAACTCACCTGACATCATACAGTTAAGTGAAATTTGAACCCAGATCCTCCTGCCACCAGCACATTGTAGAACTCTGTACTTTTACAGATCTCACCTTCACATGAAGCTATTATTATGTGTATAAAAAGTCATTTTGAGCATAAAACAAATCCAGACCTGGGTTCAGATCCCCCCTCCACCATTTAACTTTGTATTGTGTCCGTGGGCAAGTAAGTCACTTTACCTCCCTCGCCTCAGATTCCTTACTAGGAATACTGGAGGTAGTACCCCTCTAAAATACTACCTCCAGTACTCACCTCACAGGATTTTCCTCAGGCTCAAATGAGATCACACATGTAAAATATTTTGCAAACTTTAAGGAGTTATATAAATGTCAAATGTTATTTTATTTTAACGTGGGAAAGCAGCAGGAATGAGGGGATGTCTCCTCATCTTCTGAGGCAGACTTTCTGTGAAATATCCCTGCCGTTGCAGAATTTTGGAGCTGGAAGGGAACTGTTCCTTGGCACAGGGGCATTAGATAGGGCAGACCTTTAGTAAGGATGAGCCACCATTTCAGAGTGTACACACCTGAGCTAGATAACCCATGGGCTCTAGCTCAGGGCACTTAGTCTTTAGGGAGGACAAGGAAAGGAGCAAAGACAGACCCCAATCGATGAAATTGCTTCTGTGTAGCTCAGATTTTTTTTTAATGAGGCTTGGCGAGAAGACCAAAGCAGTTATCAGAAGGAAGTCTGGGACATTACGTTGAAATTTCAGTTAACCAAGACTTACCTTTGGGCTAGAGTTGGGGGGAAGCCCATCATGTGTCGTGAAATAATTAGTGCAGTAATCCTCTTCCTTGTGATACTTGGGCATAATTAAGATTTTTTTTTAAGGTTCTTTCTAATTACTGCCTTACTGGCAGTGGAAGGTGTTAGTCAGAGAATTTCTAGTGTGATCCCGTGATGGTAAATCATTTTGTTTCTCTTAGACTATGAAATTCAGAGACAGATTGAAGAACTTCAGAATGGAGGCAAAATTCTGAATGAAACACGAGCATTTGATGAGAAACTTGGGTGAGTTTGTTGAAAATCATTAAGGGGGAGACAGTCAATGTGGGGAGAGGGTGCACTTTTAGGGTCTGACCAAAATGAAAGTAACCCAAGTATCTGTGCTAGGAGTCCCAAGTCCAGTGGGAAACATGGCTAGGCTCCCCCTCCCTGGCCTCAGAAGCTTCAGGTCCCATTGCCTCTTGGTTATCATTTGGATCTTTAAAATGTATCCATGGCCTCTGGACCCTCTCCTGATCTGTTTCTCTCTTGGTGTGTATTCCTGGTTTATGAATCCTTGTTTCCATCCCCATCCGGTACCTTGTCCCCCCTTTGCTCCTTTATTTTTCCCATCTGGTGTCTGCCTCAGCCCTCAGAGACCGTTTACTTACTCCTCTGGTTTTATGGCCTTCATCTTGTAGACCAGCAACCTTGTTCTTCACCACTTTTTTTTTTTTCATTTTTTATTCAGCTTACTTTGATTCCTTGTCTGGCTTCCCATTTTGAAAGGTCGTGTAAAGATCGGCCCTTGGTCAGGGGGCTAGGAATGAAGAGAGCTGGAGTTCTGAGCTGGCAATTGGGGAGGAGCTGGTGGCACTGTAGGAAATGTTCTCTTTGATGTTGACCAACCTCTTTATTTCCGTGCCAGGTGCACCGTGTCCATGAGGGATAAAGAAGGAAAGCAGGACTACCGGTAGGAAACTTCCCTCTTCTCCTGGTGCTCCCATGTATTTGGAATTTGGTCCCAAAAGCAACAACATCCTGGTCTGCCTTTAGTTCTAGAGATAACATTGGATGGTGTGGTTGTGGTTGTGGTGGGTGTGGTTGTGGTTGTTGTTGTTGCAAGGTAGAGAATACAGACAGTCTGTCACTAGCGTAAAAGAGAATTGTTTTATTGTAGTCCAGGGTGATGAAAAACCTGCTGCCCTATGAACATGGGATTTTTGTTTTTGTTTTTGTTTTTTAGTGAGGCATTCAGGGTTAAGTGACTTGCCCAGGGTCACACAGCTAGTAAGTGTCAAGTGTCTGAGGTCAAATTTGAACTCAGGTCTTCTCTACTCCAAGGCTGGAGATCTATCCACTGCACCACCCCCTATGAACATTTAAAAGTGATTGAGACTCTGGCTTCTGTGTTCCTGCGTATTCATGTACATACTCCTCTGGCTTCAAAACCTTCCCCCCGCCCCACTCATGATGGCTTAATGTCAGTTCAGGCGTTTTAAATATAAACGTGCTAATCTGTGAAATAATGGGCTTAAAAAACAAACAAGTGAGTCTAGGATGGTATTCAGAAAAACCCAAATAATAAGGCACTATTATATTGTTTGGATTGTTGGTTTCTCCAGGTTTTTGCCTACAGCATAGCAAGTGAAGACATTTGTTCAAACCCTTCCTCTGTGTGACTTTGGGCAAGAATCTTGGCTTCTTTGGGTCTCTGTTTCCCCATCCTCAAAATGAGGGCATTGGACTATGTGATCTTGTTAGGTACCTTCTGGCCCTTGACCTGTGACCCTGTTAATGTGCCAGAGGGTTGGTGCCGCTGCCATCCATGGGGAAACTTCATTTTCAAAGGGTCATAAAGCTGGAAGAGACCTCAGCAACTGTCTATTCCAACCTTCTGATTTTATACATGAAAAACACAAGGCCTAGGGCAGTTACAAGTGACGTGAGCAGCGTCACACACGTAGGAATTTGTTAGGAGCAGGATTCGATCCCAGATGCTCTGCCTCCAGCACCGGTCTGCTTTTTACTATTGGGAATGGCAGTCGAGGCTTAGGCTGGAACGGAGGGCGAGGACAGAGATGGGGCCAGAAGCCCTCGCCCCGGGGAAGCGCATCTTTGTTTGCCAGCCAGAGGAGGTGACCGTTCCAGTCCCAGCGGTCTTTTGGGCTGGGGGCCACCCTCTTTCTCAGAACTATTTTGTCCTGTGATGTTGCTGCCCATTATTGTTTACTTTTGGTTTCTCCCCAACCATGGCCGCACTAGCTTTTTCTCCCCAGGGGATGCCATCAAGACTGCTCATGTTAGTACCAGAGAAGGCTTAGGCAGCCTTGAGCTGGGTCCTCTCTTTGGCTTAGATTCACAGCACCCATCGGGCACAGAGAGGGCAGGTCGCCTCAGCCTTTAATTTGTCACTTTGGAGCTCCTCTTCGTTCTGCATCAGCCTTGCTTTTACAAACAGTCTGACCAGTGTGGTTGGACAGAGAGAACAAGAGAGACAAAAAATTTTTATGTTCATCAAAGAGGGAGGGAAGGAGAGGCATCCAGAGAGATGGAGACTTCTTGCAGGAAGACTTGAACCCGTCATAGAATTTCCACATTTTATAAGGTCAAAACCCAGTCATTCCTTGTACCCAAGCTAGTGGCAGATTTTGACTTTAAAACAACAAACGTATTGATGCTGATGAGTTCCTGGGAGATAGGGAGGCCTGAGGATCCAGGATGTGTGATGGTGGTCACATATATGCAACAATATCCTTACTGTGAGATAGGGAGCTGGCCTGGACCTGTGGATTCATAGGCGTGGGAAACTCCTTGGAGAGAAAACTCCCAATGCATGCCGGCACCTTTTCTGCAACTTCCTGCCTTAGAGAGTTGTCGGAAGCAACCAGAGCTTAGTGACTTGCCAGGAAGTATCAGGGGCAGGGCTTGCACCCTGTCCTGCCTAGGTAGAGAGGCCCGCCCTTTATACACTAAATAATGCCGCCATGCCTCGGTGTTCTCATTTCCCTGTTGTTATTGTTATTTCTCGTGAAAACTGAATCCCCAGATCTGTTCCTAAGCAGTCTCTTCCTTTTGCCTAGGTTCATGCCAGAACCCAATCTTCCCCCATTGATCCTGTATGATGCTGAGTCCCTGCCTGTGGCTGCAGACCCCCAGCAAGTGGTAAATATCGACTGGATTCGAGAGAGACTTCCCGAGCTCCCCAGCGTGACCAGAGGGAGGCTTGTTGAACAGTATGGGATTCTGCCTGAACACAGCTTCGTCCTGTTGGTAGGTCTATTGATCAGTTGCTAAAATAAACCTGACTGCATCCGGTTTTAGCGGTTGAGAAAACACTCTGTGAGGAGTCACATTAACCGGCTGTCAGCTTTTGTGTCCTTGGAGCTAGGAGCATGCCAGCAGATTTCTTAGATTTTCCTATACGTGTTTGAGAAGGCTAGGGAGTAACCCTTTTTCCCCTCTGTGAGGGCAGGAGACTGGAAAGTTTCTAGCCTTGTGATTATTTCTCCCCTGTAAAAATGGTCAGTTTCGAACAGTGTGCAACCAGGCAACCTCACGTCATAGACGAGCCTCTCCCAGGTGGCTCTAGCAGAGAAGAATATCAGCATCTAGCCAGCATTTCTTGGTGTATCACACACCATGGGAGAGTCTAGTGAGATTTCAAGTCCTCAGAAGCCAATTCTTTATTTTATTGGGTGCAGGTAGAAGAAAAGATTGATTCTGATGGCCATTATGGACATTTTGGCCTAAGAATATTAGGGCTGGGGAAATTAGGAATCCATATAAAGGAGTTGCTCCTGGCTCCTCTAAAATTTTTCTTCTGTCCCTTTCAAAAGTCAGCTACAACTTTGGTGCTCTGTTGGATTCTGGGTGCCACACTTTAAGAAAGTGGTTAATGGCTAGAAGATGGCATCCAGGATGGCATCCAACATGTCGAAGGGCCTTGAGATCATGTCATATGAGGATTAGTCAAAGGAACTAGGACTCACTGGGAACGTAATAGCTGTGTCCAGTTATGTGAAGAGTTGTATTTGTTGTGCATGGCTCAGAGGGGAACTAGAAATGAAGACAGAAAGTTGTAAAGAGACAGACTTAGGCTTAATGTAAAGAAAAACTTCCTGATAGAGATCTACAAAAATGCAGTGGGAGAATGGGGCTGCCCTGAGACTGGAGGTCCCCAAGCACAAACCCTGGATGGCCCATCCATCTGATGTTGCAGAAGGGAAGTTTCTTCAGGTGTGTGTTGAACTAAATGGCCGCTGAGATCCTTTCCAACTGTGAGAATTGGTCTTTCTGTAATTCATCTTCTCTTTGCATCAAATGTCATTGGTGAGTTTTCTGCCTTGGTGTACGTAGGGAGTTGTCACAGTGGGTTTCTGGTTGTCTGAAATGGGGGCAGCATGCTTCTAGACAAATGGTTCTTACCTTGAGAAATTGGATAGATGACATTCTCTTATTACTGCTGTGGCAAAACCTAGTGAAAATCCGTACTCTTTAATGAGTTGGTATTAAGCATTTGCAGGGTTTAAGATGAACATTTATATGCTAGGTAGACACCAGTATTCTTCTTTAGAATTACATTTATGTGTGTGTCTACACACACACGCACACACACACACACACACAAGCCCCCACTTCCTCATCATTAATGAGTTACTTTGCACAGTACTTGGAGTTTCACAGATTAAAGACACAATTTTAGCACAAGTAATTATTGTAATCATAATTTATGTAGTACCTCTCATCCTGAAGCAGCTTAAATCTCTCAAATATTTTTCAGAGATCGATTTAACTAAATTGAGTTTCTGCCAAACCTATCCTTCCTCACCATTGTGCCCCCCCCTCAGATTTCTGGCCAATCTAAAATACCACTGAATAAGAGTCCTCCATTGTATTACATACTTACTAACTGACTGGGGTGGGAAGGAGAGGGGAGAGGATACTTCCTCATCAGAAGTATCAATTACTTATCTTCATTTGGCACTGCCCCAGCTGGACAAAGCAAGTCTTTTAACATAATGGAAGACAGCTAGGAATCATTGCATCTTTTCTTGGCTGATCCCAGGCAGGATTATGATTTCTGAGAATAATATCAGTGCATGTCTTATGTTCCCTCAGTTAGCTTCTTCCTTAGGAGAAAAGAAAGGGCTTTGAAGGTTGACCAGCCATCTCAAGAATGTGACAAAAACCATTAATTCAGTCATTTATTCAATAATAAGTAAAGTACTTGCTATATGGCAAGCATTCTACTGCTTCTGGAGTTGCAAGGTTGGTTTTTTTTTTGTCTGCCCCTAGGAGGCTTACACTTCACTGGGTTATACAATGTGAACACAGAAAGGTTAGCACAACATACATACAGAATAATTTGTTGTGGGAGGGGTGAGGATCAGAATAGATCAGCATGAGAGGTGGCGCAGGAGCCAACCCTCAGGGGAAAATGAGGAGAAAGTGCATTCCAGGCCTGGGAGTTGGGGGGTAGTTTATTCACCTTCAGGTACACAGCCTAAATGCATGTATATGCCTCCCACATTCCTTGCGTACCATGAGAGTCAGACTCTCCTCTCATAGTTTAAGAATTGGGTTTTGAGAATTGTAAGTTTCTCCAATTTTAATCCATCCAATCCCAGATTTGTGGTTTGTGACTTTTGACTTTAGAAGTATGTACTTGTTTAGGGCAGAGGGAGGGGTTGGTTTATTTATGTGTGTGTGTGTGTATATATATCTATATCTATATCTATATATATGTATATATATATATATATATATATATATATACATGTGTGTGTATGTGTGTATAGTTAGCACATAGTTTCATATTTATATATAGTTAGCTCATAATACATAAACTCTGGTTGGTGCTATGGCCATCTACTAGCATTGTAAACCACACTTCCTCAGTCTGATGTGTCCACAGATATTGAGGGTGAAGTGAGAGGGGAAAGGAAATTGAGTGATTCAGGCAAATTGTTTTTCCTGAAATTAGGCTGTCTTTATGACTTTGCAGTCCCCAGAAGCTGAGCTACCCAGAGCACACCTGAAAAATGATATTTCCATGGCTTTTTCTGCCTGCGTGAGAAACACAACAGATTGCTGAGAGGGGCAGATGCACCAATCTAATGAACCATCTTTCAATTTAAAGAGTGCCCGAGAGTATTCATTAAATAAATAGCAGTGGTAGGAGGGGTGCTTTCCAAAGCATCAGAGCTCCATGCTCTCGGTAGAGGATTGCTTCTGATTAGTCTGAGCAATATACACATTCGTAGGCCGTTACGCTTTCCCACCCACCCACACGTTGGATAGAAATTACAAGGGTCTAAACTTCAGTACTAAACTTTCATCTCTCCTTTTATCTGTACTGTTATTGGGTTGTGTGATATGGACTGGAATATTACGTTGATTGTTACGTTATTTGCAAAATGGTTTGTCATTATTTCTGACACTGCTTATTATGGTCACATGCCAAAAATGGTAATGACTCACTATTATTAACATTAATAAAACATTCAGGGAGATGGATTTCTGTTTTCCAGAGGTCATCTCTATAAAGACCTTCTCCAGGCACCCAGAATTCTTAAAGCTGTTTGCAAACAGTGCTTTCCTATTTCTCAAGCTAGGCCATTCTCTACAAATACATCCTGCCCTGCTTCCTAGACCAAACTCCTCAACTCAGTTGAAAACCCATATTCCTCTCCTCTGGGTCCATTATGAGATACCTTGTCTTATGATTAAACTGCAACTGATCTCATTTCTTTCCTCCATCCCATGCTCTTATCCTCTTCACCCAATAACCATCGCTTCAGATGCAGGAATAAGGGACTTGATGTCCGGATATGCTGATATTACAATAAGGCTCTGAATTTCCAAGTCTCTGTGTGCAAAGACACGTGATAGTTATTATGATCACATTCGTATGCTTGGAATAATCATATGCATGTGAATTATCCATGGCAGACACTTAGGCCCAGGTGGGTTGTTACTTGAGGCTGAACTGTCTCTGATAATGGATTGGTGTGTGCTTCAGGTTATGTAAGCTAATTTAAACAGTAGCCCAAGAAGCACATTTTATGATTTGTATTTGGACAGCACTTCACAGAGGGCTTTCACACTCCTCATCTCATTGGCTCCTCATAGCCTGTAGATAGAGTTAGGATTATCCCCATTTTACAGGTAAGTAAACAGGCTCTGACATTAAATGACTTAGCAAATTGCTAATAAATGATAGGACTGGGACTCTCAGGGCCTTTCTTTGGTTTTCTCTAGTGCTTCCCACTGCCACCCTGCTGCCTCCTGACAGTGCCACATAATTAGGAATATTTAGTGGTCATCCCCACACCCCTTTATCTGTTCCCAAATTTATTCATTTTGTATGACACTTTTTTCTTTTTTTAAGTTGTGTATGAATTGTTCTGTGGTTATTTTTTTAAATCATATTGTAGATATAAATGAAATCATATTTTACATTTATCAGAATGATTCATTGTCTGGGAAACACTTTGCAAACTTAAAAATACAGTGTAAATGAGGGTTATCATTATTGTTTTTGTTCTTACTTAAATGCATCCTGAGTAAGCCATAAATCCAGGCTGAACAGCACTGTGGCAATGCAGATAATCACTCTTAAGTCATCTGAGATGCAGAAATTACCCTTATTTTATAGATGAAGAAATTGAGGCAGAAAAAAGGCCTTAAATTCTCCTGAGGTTTTGTTTTTGTTTTCCAGTTTCTGTTTACTTAAGGCCTTTGGTTCCCTTTGAAAAATAATGCCATGGAGGATTGGGTTTGTGGATTCCATGAACTCTGGTTTGTTTGTTTTTAGTGAGTCCCATATATTTAAGTCCCATTATGTTTTGAGCACCCATGAGGTATGCTGTTTTAGGTGCTTGATGGGACATGGTAAAGTAAAAGCTTTGTCTTTTTCATCAAGATCCAAGAGAAATCACAGAATCAAATTACATTAGAGATTATTTTTATCACTTATCATTAGAGATTAGTTGACCCCAGATTTATAGATGAGGAAGGTAAAATCTTTGGAGTCAGGCACTGTTAATTTTTTATTTTGTGTCTGGAGCTGGCACATTGCCTTATGAGTAGTAAACACTTAATAAATGTTTATCAAGTTAATAAACTGAGGGTCTCATCCCATTAACTGATTAGTGGTAAAACCCAGACTAGATTCAGAGAACTTAATTCCCAGATCCTGTGCTCCTTGCAGTTACTTCACAAGCTCGTCCTAAATCTGAGAGCTGTGGATGTATTTTATGAGCATTCAA